CTGGTGAGAAATGATGAGATCTATGATCAGTCATGAGGCTCACAATACAAATAAAAACATTTGAAAACACTAAATTTAAGGAAATAATCAAGAAATTAAGTTCAGTCACACTAATCAAATTCAAATTCAAAAAAAAAAAAAAAAAAAAAAAGCTGCTAAATTGTGAATAATAAAGGCAGATCCTCGGGATCATCATCAAATTCAATTATAATTACAACAACAAACATTTCAGACAAAAGAATCAAAACCCATATCACAAAATCTAATCTTTCGATTAAGAATTATAAAAAAGCTGAGAAATTTAAGCTGTTGGATACAAAAGATTCGAGCTTTTACCTCAGAACACCCCTTAGAGAGAAGAAAGAGAGAGCGAGGAACACGACGGCGTTTGATGGATCGAACAATCCGGTTCAGATGCTCTGTGCAAATGCGAGTGGACTGACTTTAGGTTTTAAAACAAGCGGTGTGCGACTAACAAGGGACCGTCTCTCTCTCACGGTTTGATTCTAGAGTGTTCTATCACCACCTAACCAATTTGTGGCAAGTTGGGGATTTCACAATGAATAGTGGGCTAGGCTTAGTTTGAACTTTGAAGTGGCCCGAGTTTCATTATTAACCGATTTTATTGTTGTTGTTACAGTATCGTTATGACGTAAAATTGTTGTTGTTATGGTTTGTCGTTGTGGCTTCACTAAATTAACCCCGGTCATGCATGCACAAATCCGTGCCCAGGTAGAATTTCTGGACGGAAAAGGAGCTGGATCCTTTTCTTGGCGATCTTAGGAATCCCATTATCGTGATCGTTCTTTCCGGATCCTTTTTCTTTCTGGACAACCAAAGGTGTAATTAAGTATGTTTAGAAAAAAACTTTAAACAATTTCAAAATGTTTATAACAAAAACACTTCTAGTAGGAGTGCTTCCTACAAAAATAAATTGCAAACAAACTCGAAAATATATAACTAGCGATCATGTTTGTGAACCATCGTGTGGGTTTGATCCCACTCATTTTCTTTTTCTCTAACAACTAATCATCTAATCCACTAATGATATGTTGTACTAAAAATAATAATTAGAAAACTAGATTTCTATTCGTAAATAAGATGAAGTTTAGAAAAATGTCTTATACAAGATTAAAAATTGATTTTAATCCATATACTCTATTTAATGCTAGCATATGTATGCACTGTCTCTAATTTTATTTATAATTTTATGGTGTTCATAAATTAAATTTTATGAAAATATTATAAATTTTAATTCTCATTATGGTGAGTATCTTATATAAGAAAATATTTTGTAGAGATTTTTCAGTACACTTATGTTTTTGCATATTTTTTTTATGTGCCATTAATTTCATTACAACATATTTATGTACGAACATTTCGATACACTAGATTAGTATAATATGTTTAGGTACAGACATTTTGATACACTAGTTTAATATAATATATTTAGGTACCGACATTTCAGTACACTAGTTTAGTATCATATAGTTAGGTATGAAATTTTTGGTACAATTATATTTTTGCATATTTTCTTATGTGCCAGTAATTCACTACAATATATTTAGGTACGCACATTTCTATACACTAATTTAGTAAAATATATTATGATACGGACGTTTAGGTACACTAATTATAGGAAGTTAAATAAAATTAATGAATTAAAATGTGTATTATAATGAATTTAAAATTTAATGTAATGACATTAAATAAGATACCTATTAAATATTAAAACAAAAATATAATTTGAATTTGAATTAAGTACACATTAAGGGATTAAAATCAGTATCTAATATAACACCAGATTTTTATTAAATTTTAATCTTATTGAAGGATTAAAATTCAAAAACCCCAAAAAAAAATCTTTCAGACTATACATGCTTGGTTTAGAAAATATATATCAATACGCATTCACCAAAACTGGAAAAACTACTGCCGGAAAAACGAAGAAGATTTATAGCTACTGTTGAATCAGAAATCAGAGTTTTACTCCTCTTGTAAAGATAAAAAGAAATTAAATTTTCTCCTCTTGTAAAGATAAAAACAAATTAAAATTTTCAGAACCTAATCCTAGCTAAGAGAGGAAAATCTAGATCCCAATAAAACAATTAAAAAATCAGAATCGTAATCCTAGCTAAGAGAGGAAAATCTATATCCCAATAAAACTTCCTAGCCGCATCCAAAGAAAGAATCACAGTCGATCGGTTTCCAACTTTTCCTCGTCCACGACTCCACATGGTATGTGTGTGTGTGTGTGTGTGTATATATATATATACACCCTTTAGGTTAATTAGCTGGGTCTAGTATTGTTCAGTACGTACTACTTCCGATCGAATGGAAGTGTATCACGAGACATGTCAGAGCTTCACTTACGATGTCAAGCCCCTTGCCACACAAGTTCAGGACAGCTCCGATCGCCCTGAAAACCCTAGGGTTAGTCTTGAGATCGACTTATCACTCTTCGTAAATAAGAAGTACTACGTCAATATCTCTGAAGAATCCGAAGACGACGAAGCTGAAAGTATTCCCATATTCCAAGACAAAGAACTGAAAGAGTTACCTTCCAAAGGCCTAAGAATCACAGTTCATGACGTGCGGTGCTTAGACGATCAAAATGCGTACAAAGAAAATAAGGATGGTATATCTGGCATGCTTAAAGAACATAAAATAATCAAGGGTGAGTCCATGCGCAATCTAGTGGTGGAAAGGATTCTGAACCAGGGTCGTAGGATAGGCGAGTCCGATTCAAACAAGGGTCCCAAAAAACTGCGGTTGAGGGTCGACATGAAAAGAGACCATATCTGGGACATGTGCGAAGTGTGTTCGGATGAACGAGTCATTGCAAGGGATGCACAGCTTAAGAAGACGCTAAAGAGGGCTAGAGTGGTGGCTGATGACCATGACGATGAGGAGGACGAGGACGAGGATGAGGATGGTGATGAAGTTGGAGAAAGAAAAAAAAGACGCGTAGTGCACGAAGGCGAGGTTTGTTGCGTTTGCACGGAAGAGTTTGTTGCTGGATCAAAAGATGTGAAATACCTGCCTTGCTTGCATCTGTTTCATGGCAAATGCATAGGAGCATGGCTGAGAGAGAGAAAAGATAACTGCCCTGTTTGCCGCTACTGCGTTGAGTTGCCTAATATTGAACACGGATCACAAGACAAAATTGAGAAGCCTATGTGCACTACTGATTTCAAAGATAGTTAAGGGTTTACGTGTTGATGATGATGCATACATGAATGGGTTAATGTTGTTAATTTTTGAGTTTCTGTACAGATCTACAAACTTATTATTAACAACTTTGATTCATAAATTTGAAGCTTTTTTTTTATTCTAATTTTTTTTTTTGAACAAACGATATTCTCTACACTAAGTGGGTAAAGGAGTAGGTTAAACCTCACAATATGTCGCCAATAGAAATAAGCATGTTTATCAACGTTTAAGTAATAAACCAATAACCAATTTTCATGTCCTTTAGTTTTTGGAACTTTGTCTCCAAATTTAGTCTTTCTAGCATTATCCTTTAATCAAAGTCGCGCGGTTTCAATCCTTTCCCAAGTCCATTTGTGTTAGAAACCGATATATGATCATTTTAGTGCACCTAGATTCTGCCTAGGTCAAGTATTGATCATTATTATTGCTATATATACCGCTTTACATTCTCTTTGCCACAGAAGATAGATTGCTCGGAATGGAAGTCTATCACCAGATTGCTCGGAACTTCACTTGTGACGCCAAGCCCCATCCAACAAAAGTACTAGACAAAGATCATCCTGATTATCGTGATGAAAATACACTAAAAATCGACTTCACACACACGGAAAACATGAAATACATGTCAATCTCTCTGAAGAAGAAGAAACCGCAAGTATCCCGTCGCCCAAGGTAAACATGTTAAAAGACGAACAAGCAAATTTTATGATTTGCGCTTGTGGTCAAGCGATGGTGCCATAAAAAACAAGTATGACGTCAATCTCTCCGAAGGAGAAGATGAAGAATATGAGAGAACCGCAAGAATTAACACAAAGAATTCCTGATTTGCAAGAGTTAGACGATGCTGCCATCAAACTTGTAATCACTTGCAAACTCTACATACACAAAATCTTCGAGGATGAAAGGTTCAGTGTAGATCTAGTGGTGAGAAAGATTGTAGGCGAGGTTAATAAGCTTCGCAACTTCAAACAAGGGTCCAAAAGTTCTCGCTTGAAGGTCGACATTGAAAGACACTATTTCTTGGACGTGTGCAAATGGTGAACGGATGAAACAAATGCGTTGCTCAAGAAGACGCTAAAGAGGACTAGAGTAACTACCGATGATCATGAGATTCACGACGATGACTTTGATGAGGAGGAGGATATCCGGAGAAAAAGAAATTGTGTGGTGCGCGAGAGCGAGGTTTGCTGTATTTGTATTGACAAGTTTGTTGGGTCAAAAGATGTGCCATCGATGCCGTGTTTGCATGTGTTTCATGACGAATGCATAGGAGAATGGCTATGCAGAAAACCCAACTGCCCTCTTTGCCGGTTTAAGTGGCCTAAAACCAAAATTGAGATGCCTATGTGCAATGCCGATATTTTATTGTGTCTAAATTTTGAAATTCAAACATGATTGTATAGAGACAACACACACACACACACATACACACACACACACACACACACACACACATATATATATATATATATATCATTTGAGTCAACTTGGCTACTTTGTCTTTAATTTGATTATTGTTTCCTATGACTATATTAGTGACGTTAATGTATGTCAAAATTTTATGACAATTATCAGAAATAAGCTAGTTTAAACTTTTAGCATTGTTCATGTTTGTGTTTCAGTACAGACTTATTATTAACGTCTTTGAATTATAAATTGCACGTATTTCTTTTATCGAAATTAATTAATAGAAAAAAAAAGAAACATATAAGAAATGAAAATTAATTATATGATCATCTTACCAAATGATTCAATCTGTCCATCAATTGGCCGCTTCAAGTCTACAGTAGAAATCTTGTACACAAATATATGAATGAATATCTGATGATTGAGTTTGGTGTTCTTGAGACGAAGAGACCTCTTTTACATTCAGCCATACCGTGGTTAACACTGATCTTAAGCTTGCGCACAAAGTTTTCATATATCAGAAGTCGGACAGACTTTTCGTTCTATGCATCGAATCATGCTCAAGCCATTTCCGTGATTCTCTCCATAACTGGGTTTCGATTCCCAACTTCTTCAGCTCCAGAAGACCACGCTCAACTGTAAAAACCGGAAGAACCCGCCACATCAGATTCAAGCAGACATCATATATCATGCGTAGCACTAAATCAGCAGCTAGTTATATGAAGACGGACACGAAGAAATAGATGAACTTAGCTAGATTGTTAATTATTACAGAAAGAGAGGGAGACGAGTACCATCAACTGCATCATGTGAGGTGGCAGGTGACTTGGAGTTGTGGTTGATCCAGAATTGCAAGCGTTCATCTGCTATATCTGGTTCCACTCCATGGTTTTTAGCTCTTCTCCAGAAATATGCAAGCCAAGCCTACAACAACATCGTCTCAAAATGTCATACATATTTTTTTTATTCAATCGGTCTATATTCTAATCTAAGATTAAAAGATTGGGGATTCGAAGTAGTGGAGAAGCTAACTACTCTTGCCAATTTAGGTAAGCCCAAATTTGCACAGCGTCATGGGTATTTACATTTGGAAATGTTAGAAGAATGCAAAAGGGGAAAACACAATACCTGCTTGAAAAGTATATCTTCAGACTCCTCTTTGCTGAGTACTGAAAACAATCAAAACACATTTATCAAAACTGAAAATTAAAAGAAAATTTATGTTGAAAATGTGCCAACTTTGAATCATTTAATAATACTCTGCTGCTGTTTGTTATTCAACCGGTTTGAATCAAAGATATCAGAAACATGATCCATAGCTAAGATGAGAACATCTATATCCAAATAAACTTCCGTGCGGCCTAAGGAAGAAAGGAAAATCACCCTAACAACTGCATTCATATTGTTTTTTTTTTTTTTTTTTTGGGGGGGGGGGGTGCGTGGGGGTGTGGGGAGAGGGGGAGGGTGAGTCCTGTTGAAGTCCGTGTTGAATTGTAATCTTGTCTTGGCCCAAAGATAATTGATCCGACCCATACACAAAGAAAGATCCATGCACATGCTAGAGAATTCTAGCAAAGTTCAAGTTGGTGGAAGAGTCTAGAAGAATGGTGAGGATTCCACTAACATACAAGATTAGTGTAGATAATTCTAGCTTAGGAAGGTAGTGGAATTATCCAGATATCTCTAGCATGATGTTTTCATGCTTCTCCAAGGTTCCATCCATGCTTATAAAAGGAGAAGGCATCCACACCATTTGTAACAACCAAGAGAGCAAGTAGTAAGAAGTGAGAGTGTCAAGTAAGAAGTAAGAAGAAGCAACAAAACTTCTAAGAGTGTTTGAGTGTTTCCTCTTGTACTAAGTTTGTGAGTGAATAAAAACCTTGTGTAATACTTTGAGAATTCTTTCTTTCTCTTGCCTATCAATTCCGCTGCGTTACATTCTTCTTTGTGAGATAAACATCTTTAGAGTAATGAAGCACTTTTAAACCCCAACAAATGGAATTTGTCGACCTTTGACAGTTCCAAGATCCCCTTAACAAAATGGAGCGGCGGAAAGAAAAAATCGAACCATCCTCGACATGGCTCGAAGCATGCTCAAAAACAAGAAATTGCCTAAGGAATTGTGGGCAGAAGCTGTAGCATGTGCTGTCTACCTATCCAATCGGTCTCCAACAAGGAGTGTGTGGGGAAAAACTCCGCAAGAAGCATGGAGTGGAAGAAAACCAGGTATTTCTCATCTAAAAGTTTTTGGAAGCATAGCCCATGTACATGTACCAGACGAGAGGAGAACCAAACTCGACGACAAAAGTGAGAAGTTCATCTTCATCGGCTATGACACAAATTCAAAAGGCTATAAGCTGTATAATCCAAACAATGGGAAGACGGTGATCAGTCGAGACGTGACGTTCGATGAAGAAGGAGAATGGGATTTTGGCCCGCATGCAGGTGATCTTCACTTCTTTCCTCAATTTGAAGAAGAGAATGAACAAGGGATGATGGAGCAAGCAAGAGAGGTTCAACAAGAATCCACTACTCCACATGCTTCACCAACATCAACCAATCATGGTAATTCATCAGCATCAACATTGTCAAGTGGGAGTCTAAATGAAAGAGAAGTACCACGCGCAAGAAGTATACGAGATCTTTATGAGGTAGCTGAAAGACTTGATAATCCTACACTTTTCTATCTCTTTGCTGATTGTGAACCAGTCGACTTCCAAGAAGCAGTGCAAGATATTAAGTGGAGGAAAGCAATGGATGAAGAAATTGAAACAATCTAGAAGAATGATACATGGGAACTCGCTATTCTTCCAGAAGGACACAAAGCCATCAAAGTCAAGTGGGTGTACAAGACAAAGAAAAATGCAAATGGAGAGGTCGAAAGATACAAGGTAAGACTAGTGGCGAAAGGCTATAGTCAAAGAGCCGGAATCGACTATGATGAGGTATTTGCACCCGTTGCTCGGTTGGAAACTATACGATTACTAATTTCTTTGGCAGCTCAAAACAGTTGGAAGATTCAACAAATGGATGTGAAGTTCGCCTTCCTAAATGGAGTCCTTGAAGAAGAAGTCTACATTCGGCAAACCGTCAGGCTATGAGATCAAAGGGCATGAAGACAAAGTTCTGAAGCTAAAGAAAGCCCTTTATGGGTTAAAACAAGCGCCACGAGCATGGAATAGTGGCATCGACAAGTACTTTCAAGAAAACAACTTCATCAAGTGCCCTCATGAACATGCTCTCTACGTCAAAATCAAAGATGGAGATATTTTGATTGTGTGCTTATATGTGGATGATCTAATCTTCACTGGGAGTAATCCAAGCATGTTTGAAGAGTTCAAGGGAGTGATGACCAAAGAATTTGAGATGACCAACATCGGGTTAATGGCATATTACCTAGGCATTGAAGTCAAGCAGAACGAAGAAGGAATTTTCATCTCCCAAGAAAGCTACACAAAGGACATACTGAAAAAGTTCAAAATGGACGACTGCAAGCCCGTGAGCACGCCAATGGAGTGCGGAGTCAAACTAACCAAGTATGACAAAGGAGAAAGCGTAGATCCAACATTTTTCAAAAGTCTAGTTGGAAGCTTGCGCTACTTGACTTGCACAAGACCGGATATTCTCTATGATGTCAGATTAATCAGTCGCCACATAGAGAATCCCACAACTACACATTTGAAAACGGCCAAAAGAATTCTTCGATACCTTAAAGGTACTGTTAACTTTGGCTTGCTTTATTCAAGTTCTGATAACTACAAACTTGCTGGATATAGCGACAGTGATTGGGCAGGAGATTCCGATGATAGAAAAAACACTACTGGATTTGTGTTCTTCATGGGAGACACTGCATTCACATGGATGTCGAAGAAGCAACCGATTGTCACTCTTTCTACCTGTGAAGCTGAATACGTAGTTGTTACTTCATGTGTCTGCCATGCAATCTGGCTGAGAAACTTGCTGAAAGAATTAAGAATGCGACAAGAAGAGCCAACAAAGATCTATGTCGACAACAAGTCTGCAATAGCTCTAGCAAAGAATCCAGTATTCCATGACAGGAGCAAACACATAGATACCCGTTATCATTTCTTAAGAGAGTGCATTACAAGAAAGGATGTGCAAGTGGAATACGTAAAGTCTCAAGACCAAGTCGCCGACATATTCACCAAGCCACTCAAACAAGAAGACTTTGTCAGACTAAGAAACTCAATTGGCGTCACAAGACAAGATTAAGGGGGGATGTTGAATTGTAATCTTGTCTTGGCCCAAAAATAATTGATCCGGCCCATACACAAAGAAAGATCCATGCACATGCTAGAGAATTCTAGCAAAGTTCAAGTTGGTGGAAGAGTCTAGAAGAATGGTGAGGATTCCACCAACATACAAGATTAGTGTAGATAATTCTAGCTTAGGAAGGTAGTGGAATTATCCAGATATCTCTAGCATGATGTTTTCATGCTTCTCCAAGGTTCCATCCATGCTTATAAAAGGAGAAGGCATCCACACCATTTGTAACAACCAAGAGAGCAAGTAGTAAGAAGTGAGAGTGTCAAGTAAGAAGTAAGAAGAAGCAACAAAGCTTCTAAGAGTGTTTGAGTGTTTCCTCTTGTACTAAGTTTGTGAGTGAATAAAAACCTTGTGTAATACTTTGAGAATTCTTTCTTTCTCTTGCCTATCAATTCCGCTGCGTTACATTCTTCTTTGTGAGATAAACATCTTTAGAGTAGTGAAGCACTTTTAAACCCCAACAGTCCGTAACCCTAGGCCATAATCTATTAACCGATGCTATTATTGGTTTCTTAATTTTCAAGTTTTTTGGAAGAAGTAGGCTTGATTCTAACTATGGTGGCGATCTATCACCAGATAGATAAGAACTTCACTTATGACGTCAGGCCCCTTGCCACACAAGTATTAGACCAAGAAAACCAAGATCACGGAGACAAACAGTGGCACGAGTACACTACCACTAGGGCATCGCGTGCCAATGATACAAATATCATGTGAAGAAAAAATTACGTATAATATTGTATTAATGGCATGAGAGTCTAGAGTTGTAGCGTGGTCCTTCTTCGGATCACGGTAGGGTTGAACTTGCGATCAACTTCATGCAAGGGACGCGTTGCTCAAGGTTATGCTGAGGAGGGTTAGAGTGGCGACTGATGATCATGGTGATGAGATGTTGAGGAGGAGGAGAAGGAGGATATGAGGAGGGTCAAGAAAGAAAAAGAAGAAGTGTAGTGCGTGAAAGTGAGGTTTGCTGTGTTTGTATGAAAGATTTTGTTTAGGGTTTAGGGAAGCACGTTTGCTATGGTCAATGTGGTTAAGCTACTTCTGCAATAACCTACTTAAACTTTATTATTGTTTATTTTTTAGTTTATGTTCAGCTTTATTGGTTATATCTTCGAATTACAAATTGTATGTAAGTATTTCTTTTATCGAAATTATTTAGCAGGAAAAAAACCTACAAACTTATATTTTTATGATAATCTTACCAAATGCTTCGAACTGTCCATCAATTGGTAGCTTCAAATCTACATGTAGAAAAGAACTTGTCAGGAAACTATCATGATTTCTCTGTTGATTTGATTATAATGGATTGCTCAACTGTAAAATAGAAAATCCCTTCACCTATAACACCAGTTTTCATTGAACTAGGGCGTCGCTGTTGAGCCATTGCAACTGCCACCGCCTCCTCTACCTTCGAGACAATGACACGAAAACTGGTCATTGCAAGCAATCAATACTTCAAAAAATAGCAATGCAGACCAACAGATCAATCACGAAGACGAGTTTTATTGTTTCAGTAAACGGACTTGCTAATCATAAAAGAAACAGATAATGTTTGTAAGATCATAAGGATTGGGGGAACACCTTCAACGAAGCAAGTTCGCGCAGACCCTTCTCCACCAAGAGCATGCTCTCAATGTTTCTCTCGCCTGAGAGTTCATTCAAATCTCGTGGACTATCTTCTCTTTCATCTAGATCGTTGTTGTCTTAACAGACCAAAATTAACGGAAGACATGAATAATGCGCATCACTAGAGGTTTAGTTTTAAAGATACTGAGAGAAGCCAAAGATAAACGTAAAAGACAACCAATAATGATGGAAACACTAACTTACCTATCTCATCTTTCGCTTTTTGTCCGGCTGCTAATACAGCTTCAGCTGGATGAGGAGCAAGCGATGACCAGAATTCATATCTTGATGTCGCTATTTCAGCATGAATACCTGCCAAAATACCCTTTGGTCATTCAGTAATCACTCCTAAAAGGTTAATTTGCATTCTTCGGACATCTTAGGGACCTTCAGTTGAACAATATAAATTCTTCAACAGAAGAGTCTCTGTAGGTGACTAGGCAATAGAGGATTTGCATTTCCATGTTTCGGAAACCTTTCGAAAGATAGGAAGTTCTATTTTGGCGATTAAAATGACTTAATTACCATGCTCAACGCATAAGCTCCAGTACCGAGCTAGCCAAGATCTCTTCAAGACCACCTCTTCCTAAGAATAAAAAAAAAACTGAAAATCATGTAAAAAAAGGTACAAAAAAAAGAAAAAAAGAAAAAAAAAGGGAACTGACAATAAAAAACTGAGCACAAACCATCTCTTCACGACTCAGTATCATTCGTTGAGTCATAATCCGAAGTGATCTCAGTTCGTACTCTGCTTCGTCATTTCTACCACCATGACCACTACCACCTTGAGTCTGTGCAGCCTCTCTCAAAGCAGCCTGTGATAAATCGTGTTCAAACTCATGGAAAACATTTGCTCAATCAAATCGAATTAGACCACAGCGACATGCGCTATGACATGCACACACACACAAAAGACAGCGCAAAGTGTGTATGTGCATGTATATGAAGTTTAGTACTGTGCAGAAGATATGTTGAAACACGGCACATACCTCCCTTTGCTGCAGTGCTGCCTCCTTTCTGAAAAGAAACATATCGACGTAAAAGTTAGCATTCTAAAAAACAATAATCAATCTGAATTGGAATGCAGGTATATGCATGAAAAGTTTGAAGCTTGCCTGCTTAGAAGACGGGCTTCCAATGTTACACCTTCGCCAAGATTAGCAACCTAAAGATAACACACAGACAATGAAATAGTATCAGATTGGCCAGCACATCACCATACACATGCTCATGCTGCAAATCAACTGTATTTACACCATGAAACAAGCAAAAAAAGTACAAACCAATAAACGTGATAATAAGTACTTTGCACTTGATTGTTCGTTGAAAAATTTAAAGCATTACCTGCTGCTCAAGCTGTCGAGCCCTTGCTTCTGTTTCGTCGCACCTCTCTTCTGCAAGTCGAAGCTGGGGAAGCACATATCAAAATGGAGTGGCAGAAAGAAATATACGACAACTGTATCATATATATTACCAATGTTACATTAGAACCATTGAATGTTTAGTTCATTGGCATCACCTTTTCAAGTAGATTTTCGTTTTCTTCTTGGAGCATATCAAGCTGCAATGAAATTCACACCTCATTAGTTGATTATCCACTGCATAATATTTTGTTTTCGACTGTATAGTCTTCGCCTGTGAGCTTAAAATTCAAAGTCTATTACTTTAAATTTTTTTTCAAACAAGTATCAAACTGAGAGAAGACAATATACCTCGTCTTCTAGAGCAGAAGAACGCTGCGCCCGATTTTCTCTCATGTTAAAAGTCCCTAAATCCAAAGACATCCTGTTCGGCCAGTGCTAGAAACGTTTATTAGATATAACACATGTTTGTGTACAGGAATCGAAAGAAACCACTTTAAAGAACAAAAGAGAAATTATTTCAGCACTCCCTTTTCCTCGACCTACATTCCTCCCTTTTCTTCTAGCCATTGATTGATAAACCAAAAGAGAGTTAACGAACAGAAACAACGATAAGAGTGCAGAAGGAAAAAATGTGGGTACGGAAATCATCTCCCCTAATTTATATCAAAGCACCACGGAAATCAAAACATGAAAGTATTGATGATGACTCAGGAATTAGTAAATATTTAAGAGCTTGGCACCTTTTATCTCTCCGATTATCAGCTGAAGCATCTGTTCCAACGGGTGTAGATGGTGGCCTAAGTGATATAGGTGCTGGCTCTTTCCGATTATCAGCTGGAGGATCTGCAGAAGAGGGTGGCCTAAGTGATATAGGTACAGTAGCTGGCACCATGTGGACTGGCTTGGTTCCTAACTGCGGACGTGCAGCAGCTAAAGAACGAGCAGAGGTAGGTTGTTCGACAGCACTGGTAGGCTGAGATGGCCGAGCAGAGTTCAAGCCTGGTATAGAACGAGCAGAGGTAGGTTGTTCGACAGCAGGGGTTGGCTGAGATGATCGAGCAGAGTTCATGCCCGATACAGAACGAGCAGATGTAGGTTGTTCGACAGCATTAGTTGGCTGAGATGATCGAGCAAAGTTCATGCCTGATATAGAACGAGCAGAGGTAGGTAATTCGTTGGAGTTCGAAGTCTGAGATGACCTAGTAGCCACTGAAGAGCGAAGAGAATGTGGCTGTTCTACAACAGAGTTAATGGGTTTCGTGTTGATGGATTTGTATGGTCGGCTTGCTGGTAGTGAATGAGCTGATGACTGTTGCTCTGCGTACTGATATGGTCGACTAGCTGGCGTCGAATGGGTAGAAGATGGTTGTTCCATCGAGTTAAGAGACGGTGATGATCGTCCCCGTGTAGATGTAGATTGTTCTTGGGCAGCACGAACTGACTAATACCAGAATAACGTTTAGGTATCAATGCAAATTAAGCACATATTATGTTCATAAAGATATCATGTCACATTCAAATACGAATCATTAAAACTTTATGTTGTTAGGCTGTGAATCGGAACCATTGAGTCCACTAATTTAGCATCCACATTAACCATAATCCCATTACCATTGGAGAGCGTGGGCGCATTGATCTTCCGCCTACAAGTCCGAGGCTGCCTGTGCCGCTTGACAAGCCAAGATCATAAGAAAGATCGTCGTCCTCCTCATCATCGTCATCAGTTTGTTTGTGAGCCATCACATGTGCAAGCCTTTGCGCTGCGGCTTTCGTGTGCTGCGCTTTCTTCGCACCCACTATTCCAACCGACCCCGACCTCCCATGGTGGTGCATTGGTGACATCATTGGCGAACTTGGTTGCCCCGGGGTTCCACCACTGCTATTGCTCTTCTGCCTGACATACACCGGCCTCATCCGATCCATAGCTTAACTGCCTCCACTGCCATCAAAATTGGATGAACACCAAGAGAGAAATTACCAATACAATTACATACATCAACATCAACATCAACAAAAAATGAAGAAAAAATTGAATTCTTCAGCAGAAAGAAACCTGCTTTATGAATCTTTGAAGGAAAATGCAGCTCTATTGCCTCAAATTTCATGACTTAACGGAACGCCATTACTTGCAACGCAAGAAATTAAACTCGGATCGTTTCGGTTTTTCGACAAAATTCAATGATTTCACATTAGGGCCATCACCAAATTTAGAAAAGCCAGAGTTCCGAATAAAGGTTTCACAAATTTTTGTTTCAAACATTCAAAAGTTGAAAATTTGGCCTTGAAATTGTAGAGTTTTTTTGTCAACAGAATCAAAATCTTGAAGCTTTTACGAATTGTAGAGTGGGAAGCCGAAGGAACACGATCCGAAGTTTGAGGCGCCGAGGGAAAGAATTAATGGAGCTTTTGGCGTTCATTGGGACACGTTTGGTTTGAATCAGTTGGTGCTAAATATTGAAATAATTTTGTTTTAAATATGACTAGGATTTTGATTAAAACAAAATAAAACTCTCTGCCGTCTCATGTTTTTGGCACAATATTTAAGAATGTCACGGAAATTGAAGTTAAACGGTTAGGTGGGACAAAGTTCATGGAGAGTCTCATTTTAAGAGAGTCTTTTTAACATTTCTCGTATTAACAAACTAACAATATATGAGCCTAACCTTGGTTAAAATAAATGTGCTCCCTTTGTTTTCCTCCATTTGAGTAGATTAAACTAGAATATTATTACGTCAAATTGTCTAACAAGACATCGTTATTATATGTGTAAATAAAATTTATTAGTACTTCAACCTTTTTATTAGTTATAGTCGATTTGAATAGTTTTCTTCGGGTTAATATTCGATCCAGTTAGTTTGATATTTGAAAAAAAAAAATCTCAATATTTGAGGACTTTCTAAATTTAAAATTTAATTTCTTATTTTACACAAACAAATATTTAAGGATAGGAAGTCAAAATATTGAGTATATGAGTAAATGCTGTTAACCGATTAAGTTATAAATATTTTGCCTTCGCTGAGTGAATGTTATTAACTAACTATCAATTTGTTGTCAATATATTGTCAATGTTTTTATTTGAGAGTTTTTGTATTTTTGTTTACCGATAAATAAAATTGGAAAAACAATCAAAAGCCCAAAGCCTACCCGCCAAACACATCCTTAACCTCCAGTCCTCGCTTCTGTAAACATCCCCAAATCTCTAAAATATAGGGTTAGGGTTTTCGATTTCAACCCCCAAATCGCCATCGCTCTCAAAGATCACTCAAATTAGGGCTAATTGTTTCCCCCCATTCAAAAATGCGAGCTCTCCAAGAAGCTCCCTCGCAAGCCGGATTCCCAATTCCACTCACCCAGGCCCCAAATTCAACCCTAGGCGTCGGCGTTTCAGGATCCCGATTCTACAGCTGGCTCGGCGAGTGCCATGGGTTCTTCCACAATGTGGCTCTGATCGTGCCCTCCCTTCTCTTCGTCCTGTACTTGGCGTTTCAATCGAAAAAAAGCTTCTCGAAGCTCTCCCATGGCCGCTCTTATATCATGATTGCGTACTACGGGTGCCTCTGGCTTGTTAGCTTGCTCAACCTTGCTTGGTGCTGTTTTCAGGTTCGTATATTTCACCCCCCCCCCCCCTTTGGAAGTTTGCAGCTTTGTCTTTGTTCTTCGTTTAGAACTTGAATCTTTTAGCTGAATAGTAGCATTGTTGTGGGTAAATTTTAAGGCTTTCGGTTATTAGTTTTGGTGGAATCTTGTTACTTAGTAGTATGGTTGTTATTTGGAGCTCATCTCGGACTATTTATGTAGGAAGCACTTCTGCCAGAAATGCTTTTGATATAAACAAGTCAAAATGTTTATTAAAAATCCAAGGGCTTCCTGGAAATGCACTTGGAATCCTGAACAACCACCTAGCAAGTGCTTCTCTAAGAGCTCGTACAACCCTGAAGCCGCTTTGAAGTTTTTCTGTCATAGTTAGAAGCACTTTTGGTTGTGAGAAAACACTTTTCGCCCTTCTAGTTCTAGAAGCAGTCCCAGAAAGGCCCCTGGTTTGCTAGCTGTATTTGATGTGGTGAATGCTGGTTATTCTAGTTGTGCGTATTAGGATTTGTAGTTCATGTCTAAATTCTCCTTTCGAGGCATTTCTTGATAATTTTGCTAAGATGGGGTTAAATTGTCACTTATTTGGTTCAGGCATGGGAGTGCAGTCCTGGAAAACAACTAACATGGAATGTCTTATCTTTGTTCACAACCTCCGGGATGCTATTTTTGGAAGTAAGCTTGCTGTCATTTTTGCTTCAAGGGAATTATGCAAGTGGGAGGGAAGCTTTGGCACGGACTTTTGTCATCTCAGGGATCCTTGTTGTTTTGGATATACTTCTCAAGGTATCGCTTGTTCTTTTTCACAGAATGGATTTTCAACCTTATGACCTATGTATGCTTGTTAGTTACAGAATATACTAATGGAAACATATGCTAATTATTTTAAGCTGCTCATATTGTTCTCTAATGATTTTTTGTTGGAAGTACACATTGGTGCAGCATTGTGGTACTTAATGGACTTACAATCGTAATCTGTTCTCTTCCAGGCAATTTATCTATTTGGATTTGGCATTCCATTGTTCATTGACAATAATGACCATGCACATCGAACGAAGTGGGACTTGTGGGTTGTCCACAGGCTAGTGATTGCTGCAATTTACAGCTTTATATTGTTCATGTACCATTCCAAGTGGAGAGAGAGGTTACCGGGTAAGTTCATCGGCTATTAATAAAATCTGATGTATACATGGATTTCATAGCTATTTAGTTAAATGTGATGTCTCTTTTCTTGTTCTGCAGCAAGACCTGCATTCTACAAGTATACCGCTATCATGTTTACGTTAAACGTACTAGCACTGTTTGCTTGCTTGCTTACTGGAAATGGGGCTGGATTTGGATTCTGGTATGCGTGTAAATTGGTCATTGATCTGAAGTGTCTATTTTGCCAATATTTTAATTCAAATATTAAAGAGCTTCTTTTAAGTAATTTTCAAATTTTTTGTTTGCAGGCTATATGGTGCTACTATTGTCTGTTATCACGCCTTTTATCTTCCGCTTTTGTATGTAACATTTCTGGCAGACTTCTTCCAGGTATTTGTAACTCTCTGTTTTTATCGATAGTATTTATTATTTATTGCTTTTCGCATTGGTAATTGATGTTTGGATGAAACAGGAGGAAGATTTACATTTGGAGAATGTGTACTATTCAGAGATGAAAGATGCTGGTTTCTTTGACGCTGATTGGGAGTGACACACTAACCTCCATATCGACGGTGGTCATGGTTCTCCGGGAATTCTAGAACGTAGTCACAAGAGGATCCGATCATCACATTTGCTGTATATAGAAGTCCATATGTTACTGGATACCAAAATACTTCAATGTACTGTATCCTTTAGGTGTTTGTATGATGCCATTGTGTCGTGTTGCTTTTGCCAGTCACAAAATAATGAAAGTTGTCTTTCTGAGATTTTTAGTGCTTATGCAATCACTGCCTGAGTTTAAATTAGAAATGATCAACTTGATCAAGTGCTGTTATGCACCGGTTAAAATCAAAATGAACCTTAACTCCTTCGTTAACGGCATGATTAGTGGAAATTAGTGCTTTTAAATTAACTGGAAGCCCTTGAAGTGTGTTTTGGAAGAATCGTTTGCTGTGTAATTCTTTCATGAAGCACTTCCAAGGAGCGAATGTAATACTTTTCTGGGATATCATTGATTGTACAATTTACATACGGAATTTGATGCATCTTATACATTAGCCCAAGCTAGTTGCCAGATTTTTTAAACAAAGTGTATTTGGGATTTCCATTGTTTTCAAAGATTACAAAGGATTGGTAGGATCGGTGGATGGATTTATCCTTCTCATCGTACAAGGACCTAACGTATGCTTCAATGGCGAACTGAGGTTTTTTTGGCGTCCCTTTTCTAGCCTCCAAATGCTTGAGCAAGTTCTGGTTAAAGATAGCTGCGTTCTGTGTCATCGTGACGTTGTGTTCTCCTCCGGCAGTTGGCCATCCGATCACTATAGGAACTTCGGACACCCCCACCCGCTCCATTGCACGGTAAAATGCATCCACCATGGCATCCAACAAGGGTTTTTCGATTTAAACAGCGCAAAATCCAAGTGCATCGAAAGACTTTTGTGTACATATCCCCAGTAAGGATACACACTGACCATGAGAGGTGCTACTTGGTTTCTCAAAAATGGGAGAATATCCGAAATGTCGTTGTTGGCTTTTTGTATGAAGGTCGCCCTTGAAGGTAGATAAAGAGTATTCATGGTCTTATCGTAATCAAATAATGTGGTCACCTTGACACGCCCTAAAAACTTCTCGTCCAGCCAGCACTCGTCGAACGGCTTTCATGACCCACAGGACATCAGCGCTGTTGTCCTGGACAGCTTTATCGCCAACAACAATGTAATTGATGTCTACCTCATTCAAGTAAGGATCCACATAGTTCGAGAGCCACCATCTCACAACCGAGTCTTGGGATTTTAAGTGCTCGTTTGGAAACATTACAGCTACGGAGTTTCTGATTTGAGGGTTCTTAAACTTTTCATCACAGAGTTGTTGAAAGCAAACACCATGGTTCTTGGAATTTTATACTTGTGTAAGAGCTCGGCCGTTCTATCTGCAGGAGGAAGGTTGGTTCCTTTTACTGGTAAGCAACTACCTACCGGACTTTTACTCAGGCTATCTGCCTCGGTGGCTGTGGCAGCAGCGCACACAAGAAGCACTACTTCCCAAACAAATAATCTCCCCATCGTGATTCTCAATTCGCAATTCGCAAAGCAAGCCTTGGCCTGCAGGTATAGTATTGAATTTTTTTATGTATATTTCATAATGAACCGATTACAATAGACAACATATATAGGAGAAGAGATTAGGGAGAGCAACACTCAAGCTTCCTCAAATCACTCCTAATCTATTTACAATATCAAGACTCCTTAACTTAAGGTTAAGTACAACACAAGTAAACACAATGGAAAGAAGACTAAGCCCTAGGGTTTTACACGTTGAGTAAAAGCTGCAAACCCTAGTTGACTAACGATTAGACTTGTATCAATGGAACTCCCGATATCCTCCAATCAGTCAATCTTCCAACACTCCCCCTCAAGCTGGATCAAGAGGGTTCCTTGAACCAAGCTTGGATAGAATGTACAGAAACTGAGCCGTAGGGAGAGACTTAGTAAGGATATCAGCCAGTTGATCATGACTGTGAGTGTAATGAGTGGTGATAATCTTTGATTGGACTTGGGATCGAACATAGTGACACTCTACTTCAATATGCTTCATTCTCTCATGGAAAATAGGATTGGAAGCAATATGCATGGTGGCTTGGTTGTCACAGAACATAGGCATAGGTGCATTGCTTGGAAACCCTAGATCAGACAGAAGGCTTTTCAGCCAAACAAGTTCACAAGTAGTGGAAGCCATAGCACGATATTCAGCCTCTGCGCTGGATCGAGCTACAACACTTTGCTTTTTGCTTCCCCATGTTACCAAATTACCACCTACAAATGTGCAGAAGCCTGTAGTTGACTTGCGATCAAGGAAATTTCCCACCCAATCAGCATTTGTATAACCCATGATGGCAATGCTATCATTCTTTTGCATAAAAAGCCCTCTACCAACGGACCCTTTGAGATATCGAAGAATTCTTTTCACAATATGCATGTGTCCTAATGTAGGAGCATGCATAAATTGACTGACAATACTCACAGCGTAAGAAATATCAAGGCGCGTTATTGTGAGGTAGATGAGTTTGCCTACCAACCTTTGATATTCAGTGACATTGCAAAGGAGCTTACTATGATCATGGAGACAGAGTTTACTATCCAAAAGGAGTGTGGGTAGGCTTGCAATCCAGTAAGTTAGATTCCTTCAAAAGATCAAGGATGTATTTCCTTTGATTGAGAAAGAGGCCTTTCGATGATGTGGCAAGTTCAATACCGAGAAAATATTTGAGAGTTCCCAGGTCCTTGATTGCAAATTTGCTTCGAAGAGCAAGCTTGAGAGAGTGAACTTCTTCAATATTGTCACCTGTCACTATAAGATCATCAACATAGATTAACACAATCAACTTCCCAACTGAACCAACACAGATAAAAAGAGAGGAATTGGCATTGCTTATTTGAAAACCAAATGCTTCAATTACCGAGCTTAGTTTTGAATACCATGCACGTGGAGATTGTTTCAATCCATAAATGGATTTATGCAGTCTACAAACCATGTTAGGATCATGAGATTGAAGATGACCAGATGGTAGTTTCATGTACACTTCCTCTTCTAACTCACCATGTAAGAAGGTGTTCTTCACACCCATTTGATACATAGGCCAAGATTGGTTCACAACAACCGATAATAGGACCCTTACCGTGTTCATTTTGGCAACTGGAGCAAAGGTTTCCTTGTAATCCAAGCCATATGTCTGAGTGAAGCCATGAGCTACCAAATGAGCCTTGTGTCTTTCAATGGTCCCATCTGTGTTGAACTTGGTTTTGTACACCTAACGACTGCCCACAGCTTTCTTTCCCTTGGGAAGGCTAACTACGCTCCAGGTTTTATTGTCATGAAGTGCTTGTAGTTCATCCCTCATTGCATCTTTCCAAACTGCAAGTTCATTTGCTTCTTGAAATGTTTGAGGGTTATGAGTGTTGTCCAAGGTGCTAAGAAAGGATGTATGAGATGGTGAAAAGTGTTGGTACGAGACAAAATCTATGAGAGGATACCTAGAGGTGAAAGTGACATAGTCATATACGCGAAGTGGGGGCTGTCTATCTCTGGAAGGGTTTTGTCTAATTGGGACCTGAGGTTCAAGATTTGTAATTGGAGAGGGTGATAATTCTGGGGATATAGGTAAAGTGACATGAGGTGTGGGAGTTTTTTGATAGTGAGGAACACTGGGCAAAGGAACCAGATCACTTAAGAACTCCCCCTGACCTACATCACTCAGTTCCTTTAAAAAAATAATGAGTGTTTTCATCAAACCTCACATCCCTTGAGACCATAAGTTTTCTTGTGGTTGGATTGTAGCACTTATAACCTTTATGAGTAGATGAATAACCCATGAAAATACATTTAGTTTCTCTGGGATCGAGTTTGTCAAGATGGAAAGGTTGGTTATGAACAAAACAAGTGGAACCAAAAACCTTCAAATGTGAGAGATCAATTTTTCTTTCCTTTAATACTTCATATGGAGACTTGAAAGCTAATACTTTACTAGGCAATCTATTGATAAGATAAGTGGCAGTGAGCATTCCTTGTGACCAAAATTTTTTGGGCACATTCATATGAAACATGAGTGATCTTGTCTTCTCAAGGAGGTCTCTATTTTTTCTCTCAGCAACCCTATTTTGTTGGGGTGTGCCAACACATGTGGTCTGATGCAAGATGCCATGAATACTTAAATATTGAGACATGCTATGGGACATATACTCAGTGCCATTGTCAGATCTTAAGACATGAATTTTTGATGCAAATTGAGTACTAACTAGTTTATGAAAATCTTGAAAAACATTTGGAAGTTCACTCTTATATTTCAAAAGATACAACTAAGTTATCCTCGTAAAATCATCGACAAGGGTTACAAAGTACCTATATCCATCAAAGGACTCTAGTATTGGACCCCAAATGTCTGAGTGAATGATTTCAAAAGGATGACTAGCTCTAGAGGTCGAGAAATCAAAAGGCAACCTAGTTGACTTAGACAAGTGACAAACATCACAGTGTAGCTTGTCTTTACACAGTTTTGGAAACAAAAAAGACGTCACTTTCTCAGAAGGATGTGCAAACGTTGATGCCAAAGTTGTTGATCTTAAGAAACACTTGAACTGACTTGAAAAACCTTGGGATCTTTGGTGTCTTTAGCTAGGTAGTAGAGACCGTTCAAATAGAAACCTTTACCAATCATTTTCTTAGTGGTGATATCTTGAAAGATAACATCGTGAGGAGAAAAAATGGCTAGGCAGTTTAGAGAATTGGTGATGGTTCCTACTGATAACAATTTGTAAGGAAAATAGGGAATATAAAGGCTACTGACTCTATGTGATTTGAAAGTAGAGTGACTTTTCCCTCTCCTACAACTAAGGCACCTTTACCATTAGCTAAGGACACTTAAGCAGGTTTTGACAAGATTTTAAAATCATGCAAGTTGGTAATTTTTAGAAGGCACTTGAAATACCTGGAATATCTTTCTGCGAGACATGATCATGTTCAGCTAAGAAGCCAGCAAATTTTCCAAGTATGGCTGTGTTCTTCTTCTCGTCAACTGCAGGAGCTTCATCTCCATGGTTATGGACTTGTTTGTTGTGGAGATATGCTGCAAATTCATTGATTAATGCAATAGGATTGGCCATGAAGTTCACCCTTTCTTCAGTTGAATAGGTAGCTGCATGATTTGCCTTGTAAGCATTGTTGTTCAGGTTTCTTTGTGGACCATTTATTTCTTTAAAGAACTTGGGCT